GTAGTTCCTTATCCATGCTAGGACCTTTCCCCCCACCCCCGCCTGCCTCTCGAGCTTGAACAGCAGTCTCATGTGCGGTACTGTATCAAAGGCTTTTTGGCAGTCCAGAAATATGCAGTCTGCCCAACCATCTCTGTCCTGTCTTATCCTCGTTATTTTATCATAGAATTCCAGAAGGTTTGTTAGGCACGATTTCCCTGTCCAGAACCCATGTTGATGTTTGTTCACAAACCTAATGTTCTCCAGGTGTGCAACCAGTCGTAGCCTAATTATTCTTTCCAGTATTTTACAGGGGATGCTTGTCAGTGATACAGGTCTGTAGTTAAGTGCCTCCTCCCTATCACCTTTCTTGAAGATCGGCACGACATTTGCCTTCTTCCAGCAACTGGGCAATTCTCCTGACATAAGTGACTCATTAAAGATCATTGCCAGAGGCACGCTGAGGGCCTGTGCTGCTTCTTTTAGTATCCACGGTGATACTTTGTCTGGTCCAACTGCTTTAGTTGCATCTAGAGTTGTCAACTGTTTCATTACCTCCTCTGCTGTCACCTCTATATCTGATAGTCTTTCATCTAGGGTAACCCCTTCCAACAATGGGAGCTGCTCAGGCTCGGTAGTGAACACTCCATGGAAACTGGCATTCAGTGCCTCGCAGATTTCCTTGTCACTTTCAGTATATGCCCCCTCTGTCTTCCTTAGTCTTGTCACTTGGTCGTTCACTTGGTCGTCACTTGGTATATATATATATATATATATGTGTGTGTGTGTGTGTGTACTTGTTGATTGACATTGGATCACAGGACAAAATTATATTGATATACATAATACTGACACTTTGGTACACCCCCATTGATACTTAGAAATGGGGTTGAAGTGTTACGCTTGATGGGGTCACGTGGGGGTCAACGCAGGGGTCAGGCCAGGCCACGGACGGCTTAGAAATGAAGGCAGAGGTCACAAGCCTGATAGTCCAGCGACCCCAGGGGTCAGGAGGGGTCACGGACGGCTAGAAGCCCCCCCCATATACTGAACAGGTTATCTTCTTGAGATGATTTCGTGGCTTAGCGTCCCCGCGGCCCGGTTAGCTGAGCGGCCGAGGGGACGGGCATGGCCAGGGGAGCGGCCGAGGGGACGGGTGTGGCCAGGGGAGCGGCCGAGGGGACAGGGTGTGGCCAGAGGAGCGGCCGAGGGGACGGGTGTGGCCAGGGGGAGCGGCCGAGGGGACGGGTGTGGGGAGGGGAGCGGCCGAGGGGACGGGTGTGGCCAGGGGAGCGGCCGAGGGGACGGGTGTGGCCAGGGGAGCGGCCGAGGGGACGGGTGTGGCCAGGGGGAGCGGCCGAGGGGACGGGTGTGGCCAGGGGGGCGGGCGAGGGGACGGGTGTGGGGAGGCACTCCACCAAACACGTTTAACAAGGACCTGTTAATCTCACTTGGCACAGTGCCTCACGCCCTTGTCTCTGATAACCACCTTTAAGTGTCACTTTATAACTTCTGAGATGTTTATGAAGCCTGTGAGCGTGCGCCTGCTAGTTGAGCTTCAGCTCCCGGACCCCGTTTCTCACTGAAGAAGTGCTCCTGGCGCTCTACCTCTTAACCTAATAAATCCCGTTGTAGGGAAAATCGACATCCCCAGGAAGCAGCAGCTCGTAGCAGCTGCCTAACTCCCAGGTACCTATTTCTAGGTGAACACGGGCATCAGGGTAGAAAAAAAAACTCTGCCCATTTGTTTCCGCCTCCGCCGGGGGATCGAACCCGGAACCTTAGGACTACGAATCCCGAGCGCTATCCGCTCAGCCGTCAGGCTCCTAAGACCTACACTAAAACCTCGTTAATGTCTTCTATCTGTGCCAGCTGATGCAACCTCTTGCAAGAATACTGCGATGGATTAGTGTACATCGCCCTCTCTTGTCCAGATCTTAAACTGAAACTGCTAGACGTGTATATATATATGTCGTACCTAATAGCCAGAACGCACTTCTCAGCCTACTATTCAAGGCCCGATTTGCCTAATAAGCCAAGTTTTTCTGAATTAATATATTTTCTCTAATTTTTTTCTTATGAAATGATAAAGCTACCCATTTCATTATGTATGAGGTCAATTTTTTTTAATTGGAGTTAAAATTAACGTAGATATATGACCGAACCTAATCAACCCTACCTAACCTAACCTATCTTTATAGGTTAGGTTAGGTTAGGTAGCTGAATAAGTTAGGTTAGGTTAGGTAGGTTAGGTAGTCGAAAAACAATTAATTCATGAAAACTTGGCTTATTAGGCAAATCGGGCCTTGCACAGTAGGCTGAGAAGTGCGTTCTGGCTACTAGGTACGACATATATATATATATATAATATAATATATATATAATAATAATGTAACCTACTCTGAAAAGCATCTGGGTCATAAACAATCCTGTAAGGGCTGGGGGGGGGGGGGAGGGGAAGAATTTATCCAGGGCTGGGGGTTCATTTATCCAGGGCTGGGGTTCATTATCCAGGGCTGGGGGTTCATTTATCCAGGGCTGGGGGTTCATTTATCCAGGGCGGGGTTCATTTATCCAGGGCTGGGGGTTCATTTATCCAGGGCTGGGGGTTCATTTATCCAGGGCTGGGGGTTCATTTATCCAGGGCTGGGGGTTCATTATCCAGGGTGGGGGTCATTTTTCCAGGGCTGGGGGTTCATTTTTTCAGGGCTGGGGGTTCATTTATCCAGGGCTGGGGGTTCATTTATCCAGGGCTGGGGTTGTGGTCTTTGCCAGCTCATTGAACTCTTGGATGAGATTTGTCTGGGTTCCAAATGTTAGATGATTGATGAAATGCCAAATTCATCCAATGACAAAGTGTTCGATGAACACTATCATCAAGTGTTAGATGAATTGCCGCCATTCCCGCCACGGTAATGGCGGGAACTGGAGCCTGCGTTGACAGGGAAACAGTTTGGACAAAGGAGCAGATGCCTTTGGTCAACAGAAGCCTTTGCTCAACAGAGGCCTTTGCTCAACAGAGGCCTTTACTCAACAGAGACCTTTGGTCAACAGAGACCTTTGGTCAACAGAGGCCTTTGCTCAACAGAGGCCTTTGCTCAACAGAGGCCTTTACTCAACAGAGACCTTTGGTCAACAGAGACCTTTGGTCAACAGAGGCCTTTGGTCAACAGAGGCCTTTGGTCAACAGAGGCCTTTGGTCAACAGAGGCCTTGGTCAACAGGGACCTTTGGTCAACAGAGGCCTTTGGTCAACAGAAGCCTTTGGTCAACAGAGACCTTTGGTCAACAGAGGCCTTTGGTCAACAGAGGCCTTTGGTCAACAGAGACCTTTGGTCAAACAGAGACCTTTGCTCAACAGAAGCCTTGCTCAACAGAGGCCTTTACTCAACAGAGACCTTTGGTCAACAGAGACCTTTGGTCAACAGAGGCCTTTGCTCAACAGAGGCCTTTGCTCAACAGAGGCCTTTGCTCAACAGAGGCCTTTGCTCAACAGAGGCCTTTGGTCAACAGAAAGCCTTTGCTCAACAGAGGCCTTTGCTCAACAGAGGCCTTTGCTCAACAGAGGCCTTTGCTCAACAGAGAGGCCTTTGCTCAACAGAGGCCTTTGCTCAACAGAGGCCTTTGCTCAACAGAGGCCTTTTTGCTCAACAGAGGCCTTTGCTCAACAGAGGCCTTTGCTCAACAGAGGCCTTTGCTCAACAGAGGCCTTTGGTCAACAGAGACCTTTGCTCAACAGAGGCCTTTGGTCAACAGAGATCTTTGCTCAACAGAGGCCTTTGCTCAACAGAGACCTTTGCTCAACAGAGGCCTTTGGTCAACAGAGACCTTTGCTCAACAGAGGCCTTTGCTCAACAGAGTCCTTTGCTCAACAGAGGCCTTTGCTCAACAGAGGCCTTTGCTCAACAGAAGCCTTTGCTCAACAGAGGCCTTTGCTCAACAGAGGCCTTTGCTCAACAGAAGCCTTTGCTCAACAGAGGCCTTTGCTCAACAGAGGCCTTTGCTCAACAGAGGCCTTTGCTCAACAGAGGCCTTTGCTCAACAGAGGCCTTTGGTCAACAGAGACCTTTGCTCAACAGAGGCCTTTGCTCAACAGAGACCTTTGCTCAACAGAGGCCTTTGGTCAACAGAGATCTTTGCTCAACAGAGGCCTTTGCTCAACAGAGGCCTTTGCTCAACAGAGGCCTTTGCTCAACAGAGGCCTTTGCTCAACAGAAGCCTTTGCTCAACAGAGGCCTTTGCTCAACAGAGGCCGTTGCTCAACAGAGATCTTTGCTCAACAGAGGCCTTTGCTCAACAGAGGCCTTTGCTCAACAGAGGCCTTTGCTCAACAGAGGCCTTTGCTCAACAAAGGCCTCAACGTAACACCTGTCAGATGAACACCACAAAAAGTCTCAGGAATGAAATGGATTATTGAAATGCTCTTGTCTGCAAGAAAACGGTAGATGTTAGTGCAGTAACCGAAACTTGGATGGATGTAGAAAACGGGATTATTAGCCGAGTGTCAAATTCAAATTTCAAAATTCAAATTCTTTATTCAGGAAAAGTACATACATAGTTGATTTACAAACATAAAATTGCATTTATAGATAATGCTAGTACATACAATACCTGAAGCCATTAATACGCATAGCGCTTGGGGCAAAACAAGGGAGCCGGTCGGCCGAGCGGACAGCACGCTGGACTTGTGATCCTGTGGTCCCGGGGTCGATCCCGGGCGCCGGCGAGAAACAATGGGCAGAGTTTCTTTCACCCTATGCCCTGTTACCTAGCAGTAAAATAGGTACCTGGTGTTAGTCAGCTGTCACGGGCTGCTTCCTAGGGGTGGGGGCCTGGTCGAGGACCGGGCTGCGGGGGCACTAAAAGCCCCGAAATCATCTCAAGATAACCTCAAGAAGGATATCAGATTTTAAGATAGACTGGGATAGATATGTTAAAGAACACTGTTAAAGTGCCAGATTTTCGAGAAGCTCATTTTGAGGGATTGAGGAGTTGTGAAAGACTGATAGTGCAGACTTAAAC